TCACTCTGAGACTTTCCTTTGCCATTGCAGGTAGAGCGGGAAAAGGCCATTCTCCTGGCCAATCTACAGGAGTCACAGACGCAGCTGGAACACACCAAGGGGGCACTGACAGAGCAGCACGAACGGGTGCACCGGCTCACGGAACACGTCAATGCCATGAGGGGCCTGCAGAACAGTAAGGAGCTCAAGGCTGAGCTGGACGGGGAGAAGGGCCGGGACTCAGGGGAGGAGGCCCATGACTATGAGGTGGACATCAATGGCTTAGAGATCCTTGAGTGCAAATACAGGGTGGCAGTAACTGAGGTGATTGATTTGAAAGCTGAAATTAAAGCCTTAAAGGAGAAATACAATAAATCTGTAGAAAACCATACTGAAGAGAAAGCCAAGTATGAGAATAAGATCCAAATGTATGATGAGCAGGTGACAAGCCTTGAGAAGACCACCAGGGAGAGTGGAGAGAAGATGGCGCACATGGAGAAGGAGTTGCAGAAGATGACCAGCGTAGCCAATGAAAATCACAATACCCTTAATACGGCCCAGGATGAGCTGGTTACATTTAGTGAGGAGCTAGCCCAGCTTTACCACCATGTTTGTCTGTGTAACAATGAAACCCCCAACAGGGTCATGCTGGACTACTACAGGCAAAGCAGAGTCACCCGTAGTGGCAGCCTGAAAGGTCCTGATGATCCCAGGGGGCTTTTGTCTCCACGGTTAGCCAGGCGGGGTGTGTCATCCCCAGTAGAAACAAGGACCTCCTCTGAACCAGTTACAAAAGAAAACACAGAAGCCAGCAAAGAACCAAGTCCAACCAAGACCCCCACCATCTCTCCTGTTATTACTGCCCCACCATCATCTCCAGTATTAGACACAAGTGACATCCGCAAAGAGCCAATGAATATCTACAACCTTAATGCCATAATCCGGGACCAAATCAAGCACCTACAGAAAGCTGTGGACCGGTCCTTGCAACTGTCTCGTCAAAGAGCAGCAGCACGGGAGCTGGCCCCCATGATAGATAAAGACAAGGAAGCCTTAATGGAAGAGTTCCTCAAGCTCAAGTCCCTGCTGAGCACCAAACGGGAGCAGATCGCCACCCTGAGGGCAGTGCTGAAAGCCAACAAGCAGGTGATCTCATTCTACTGACAATGCATGCTAGTTAATGCTCTCTTAACTAGTTTATTCCCCAAGGTTTGTGAGTGTCTACTATCATCAGGATGAGAGTTCAGACTTATGGTCAGCGGAGAAATGAAGCAAACCACATCCCAGAGCCAGACCAGAATGTAATAATTATTTTTAAGTGAGTGAATGGATGAAATAGCTATGTCCCACTAGGTGGACGTGGAGGTGAGGAAGTTAAAGCAGAAAAAAGGGAGAAGATCCATGCAGATACAGGAAGGCAATTCAGGTGGTACTTAGGTGGATTTCAAATGTCATTGAGTGTGGAAACAGGAGATGGAGGGATGGCAGACAAGACTGGTGTGGAAGCTTACACCGGGGAGATACAGCAAGAAAGACACTGGCAGGCAGCTGGAGCAAACAGAGGAGAGAGAGAGAGAGGGAGAGGGAGAGGGAGAGAGAGAGGGAGAGAGAGAGAGAGAGGTAGAAATAGAGAGAGAGATAGATGTAGAGGTAGAATGTGCACTAGCTCTGCCAGTGACCAAATATCTGAAACTTAGGTTCAGTTGGGATGTTAATTCACCTGCATCAGAGCTAAAGCAATAGAGAGTTTTTCCTAACCGTGGAACTTGTCCTTCTGGAATAGGTAAGAATGATATAACATGACCCTACCTGACTAATCCCTAGACCTCCTTGATGACTGAATTTGTTTTCCACCCTCAAGCTTCACCTGGGTGCAAGTGCTATGAAATATAGACAGGAAAATATTTTAACCCCTTTTTAGTTTCTCTGGAAAAGGAGCCTTGAAAGATACATTTGAGAAAGCTGCTTCCTGAAAGAGTGTTGATAAAGAGAAACAACAAAGCATCAAACACCTTCTTGCAAACCAGAGCAGGGCTAGTGTTAGAAAGTAGGGGTTAGTTTCAGATTGAGAGTTCCTTCTACTTTTGCCCTTGTTTGGGGGAAACCGCATTATTATTATGTCATCTACAGCACAACTTTCTAGCATCTTTATCTTCAGTTCCCATAAACCCATTGATATAATTTGGAGGTCTATACCATAAGCAATAATATTGCTTGCACTATAAACATGTTTTATATAAATCTAAGGGCAAACTAGGACCTCATTTTGTGCCATCACTTTAGAGAAGTAAAAAAGATTAGGGTGCATAAAGAATTTGTGAGAGATCTGACTACAATGAATGAAGGAATTTGTTACCATAAACACTGCTATAATCCAAAGACCCAAACCAATACCACATTAGATAAGACTTAGAAACCTTTATCAAGGACATAATATCCAGAGCATTCTTGTCAAGTCATTCAGATAACTTCTCTGTCTTCTTCCTGAAGGTTGAATATTAACAGCATAGAAATCTAGGTCTGTAAAACTGTCAAGATGCATAACTAACACAGAGGTATACTTAAGCTTGGTTGGTCAGCCAAGAGAGACTGATTAGGAACAAGCATTCATTGATTACATATTTCATGGCAAGTAGTAAGTATGGTCGGATGCAAAAGTAAGTGGCTAGTAATCTAGTTGAAGTTCAACACATGCCTGTAACTGTTTAAGAGGTAGGACATATCAAGCACTTTAGAATGCTCTATATAAACAGTGCCACAGAAATTCAGAGCAGAGCAAAGCATTCCTGGATTGATTTTTATTTTCACAGTGGTTTGTGTTACCGTTTGCATTATATTAGAATCGCAACCCTTATGGGCTCAGTAAACTGAATGAAAACACATTTTTAGCCATGTATTTAGTTTAAATTTTAATGATGTTGGGCCTATTGTTGTGAAGCTTATGTGCCATAAATAGCTTCAATTATCTCCAGATAACAGCCATTATATTTAGACACTGTGGGATGTTAATTATTAAGGCTTAGGTGAGAATTCTGTGGTATAGGAAGAAAAGAGAATCTTCT